GAAATTTGGGTTAGTCTCCATGACCGTAACATCAAACTCCTCATTCCATCCCATCATCACACCTCCCCTTGCCCGTCCACATCGACTCCCTCGGCGTTCGCAAACCCTAACGAACGTAGAATCTCCCTGGCACGTTGACAACGCAGCTTCGTTTCCATCAGAAAAATAATAGAAGGGTGGTGTTGGTGAATCATATCCAATAAACAATGTATGGTTATCGGATTTCCTAACCCTCTACAATTCCACAATATAATGCTCATAAGTGCTTCAATCGAAGAAGACCACACCAATCTTCCCGCCGAGTCAGATAGTCGCCGGAATAGCTAAATCCAAAAATAGTATCCGAAACTATGAATCTCGGTGCCGTAATCGCCGGGCAATCACCTCCGGGCGAAAAAGACAGGTGTTACCGGGGCGGCAACCCTAGAGAGAGATCTGTCAACACGCACAACTCCCGATCAGTAGGCTAGTAGCCTTAAAATGAAACTTTACTCCATACTGGAGTGGATAATTCAATTTACCGTTCGATTTTTATCGATTTCGGTTCATTTGTAGTTTATTTGGTTTGAGAAAAATAGTACTCCCTTTGCCCCTAGCTTTGCTCTGTTTTACTTTTTCGCCCATCCCATTAAATCTGTCTCATACTATAACTGATAATATTTGAGTGATTACAATTCATTCTTACTTTATTTACACTTTATCAATTCAATATCAACCACACATTTCTACTTTTTCTTAAAAACCACATCACACCCCTTTGTCCCAAACATAGGGGGAGGGAGGTAGTACCAAATTAAAATCATTTGTGTTTTGATTTGCTTTTGATTCGTATTAGGAGTGAATTGATTCAGTTCGGTTTCAAGTTCGAATTACCAAAGTGAAATGATTTGGTTCAATTTGGTTCGGTTTTATATACTTATTGATTAGTTGATCCATACATGCAAATTAAAATTTTAAATCCATATTATAATTCAAATAAATCATGTAAACTGTATATTGCAGATCGAAAAGATTCAGACTAGATTAGATCAGAAAGATACAAATTAGATAAGAAAAGTTCAAGCTTGATTTATTACTTACGTAGTATATTATAAGAAAAGTTCAGACGTGATTTATTATTTATATTATTATTGTTGTTGTTGTTGTTATTGTTATTATTATGTTAATAGTCTAATGTTCTAAAAGGTGTTAGACGCTAGTCGGGCATCAGCCAACGCCTAGGCAGACGTCTAGACGTGGACTAGACGGAGACACATAAATTGTATTTTTATCAATACTTTTGCATAAATATGATAAGTAACACGGTAGTACATAGTATGGCGGAAGTATCGTGTGTGTGTGTGTGAAAAATGTATACATCCACAATAACATGCATGAATGATGGAATTATCGCATGTAATAATATATGATAATTAATCACTTACTACATTATGATAAAAATATGACTACCTCCGTCCCCTTAATATTGGAACAAAGGAGTGTGGTGTGATTTTTAGAAAAGTAGAAATATGTGGTTGATAATGAATTGATAAAGTGAAAATAAAGTAAGAATAAAATAGAACCACACAATTATTACCAAATATGAAATGCGACAAATTTAGTGGGACAGACGGAAAAGGAAAAATGGGTAATTATAGTGGGACAGAGAGAGTAAATATTAATAATAATAAAATTTAAGTATACATACAAACATATATAGTTTTTATTCTTAATGTACAAGTATCTTTCTTCATATTTGTGATTAAAGTTAAACGTACATATATCTCTTCAAACAAGAAAGTTAAAAGTTAAAAATTGTTCGGCGAATCTATATGCCCTAGGCAACGATTAGGCACTCTGGGCGGGCAACTAAGCACCCTAGGTGGCCAAGTATTTCACCTAGGCGTCAACCCAATTAGTTGGGATGCCTAGACAAAAATCGTGGCGTCCGACCACCGCCTAGCGCCTAGGAGGGGACTAATTGGGTGCCTAGAGCAATTTTTAGAACAATAGTTATTACGTAGATTACTTCCCTAGTAATTAAGTATGAGTAATGTTATTTTTGTCCCATAAATAGTTGAGCTACACTTTTCGTGATAAAATCTATCCAAACTATTTATTACATACAATTTGTTACAACAGAACAGTAAATGGAAAAATAAGGTCGCCTCTGGATAATGTCAAACTAATAACGAAAATAATATTATAGTACGTATAGTATACACATGATAAGCACACCACAAGCTTGTGTGGGAATGGAAGACCTGGCGTGCGTTGCATGGTCATACGAATACAATGTATATTATCGTTAAGAGCCCTCACAATTGTAACATGAGATGACCAGATGTTAAGACTGAAGCGAAATTCATCAAATTGAATCTGTTGTGGTCCTTTAGTGAAGATGTAGATATATTGATGACGAGATGGAACATGTGAAACCCAAATTTCACCATGAATGACTTTTTCTCGAACGAAATGTATATCTAATTCAATGTGTTTTATCGATTTATGATTATTGGATTACCGTACATGTATACAGAGCTCATGATATGGCAATCAACAATGGATGCTTTTTGGAGAGAGGCAATGAAGCGTAAGAAGAAGATTTTGTAACCAACATGTCCTGGCGATGCCACGATATTCATCTTAAGCACTAGAGCGTGAAAGAATAAGTTGTAGCTTGGATGAGCAAGACAACAAATTATCACCCAAAAATACACAGTAAATGGACGTAGATCAGTGTGTGTCGGGACAACCATCCCAATTTGCATCAGTATAGGAGATAAGAGTGGAGATAGACGGCGGGCGAATATATAACCCTGGGTGTGTCGTGTCGTTGATATACCACATAATACGTTTGAGTGCATGAAAATGTGGGCCCCGGGGATCATGCATGTAAAGACATATTTATTGAATCGTATAAAAAATTTTGGGGCAAGTATAGGTGAGATATTGTAGAGCTTTTGCAATGTGACTGTAGAGAGTAAGATCGTTAAACCGAGATTTGTCGATGGCACTACTTTTGGCCGAAGAATCAACAAGTGTGGTAATAGGTTTTCAAGAGCTCATGCTTGCTGGTGAAAAAATTTCCTTAGCATAAGTGGTCTGAGATAAAAACAAACACCCAGACTGCCGAGTAACAGAGATCCCCCGAAAAATGTGTCAAATGACTAAGGTCGGTCATAGCAAACTCGGAACTGAGCGTGGAGATGATGGAAAGCTGAAGGTCATCCGTGGAGGCATCGAGGATGATGTCATCCACGTACAAGAGCAGATACGCGGTGATCAAGCCATGCAAATCAGTTAATAAAGGAGTGATATCACTTACTTTGTGTGAAATTGATAGAAGCCACAAAGGAGGAAAAGTTGTGGTTCCATGCTCAGAGGGCTTATTTGAACCCATATAATGACTTGAGGCGCCGACATACATATGTAGGATGGGGAGAATCTTTAAATCCGAGGGTTTGGTGCATGCAGATTGTTTCATTAAGAGTGACATGCGGAATGGCATATTTGACGTCAAGTTGATTAGAGGCCAAGAATGATGAAGATCCAAACTGAGAATAGTCTGTATAGTGGCGGGTTTGACCAATGGGCTGAAAATATAATCCAAAATCAGTGTCGTGTTGTTGAAAGCGACCATTGACAATGAGACGTGCCTTGTGCTGTTCAGGAGAGCCATCAAACATGTTTATGTTTAAAAGGCCAGATGTAACGAATAATATAGACATTAGATGGACGGAAACCAACTCCCATGCAGTATCCTTAAAAAGAGCTCTAAATTTCCCACTCATTGCCGCTTCTCAGTTAGATTCATGAAGGGTTGTGAGGGAAGAAGTAGGTAGGGGTGATGATTGGGAAGTATTTTGGGTGGTGAGGAAATTAAATATGGGGTTTATCATTAAGATGCCTGCACGGCTCCGAGTGATCATGGGGTGGTGAGGGATGGGCTCAGGTGCATTGGGTATTATGGGAGCGCGAGGTGAGTGTGAAGGAGGGGATAAGTCATGAAGGTAGACCGAATGGAGCGAATGGGGAGAGGATGTGAGAGTTGGACACGGTAAGTATGACATTGAAGAAAGATGAAAGTATAATATGGATGACATGAGTTGTCAAACATATTATAAGTGGATGGATTGGGAGGTGTGGTGGTATGAAAGGTGTAACACCCCGACCCCCGCAAGGCCTGAAGTAGTTACTCCAGACCCCTAGTACTGTCCTCACAAACCCCACACAAGTCTTTAACGCACACTTTATCCTCACTCGTGCGTCCCCGAGAATCTTCCTAGTGGGTCACTCATCCCAAGATTACTCCCTTGCAAGCACACTTAACTTGGAGTTCGTAGCTGATGAGCTTCCTTGAAAAGAGATGCACCTTATAGGTATGAGTAGTACTATTAATCCCTTTAAATTAATCTCAAATATTACAAAAGGGGTATTAGGTTTCATCAAAGGTTACATGACGAGATATTATCATTCTGTTGGTGTTGGGGTCAAAACATTCATGGCCTTTTCAATTGGATCGGAAACCAAGAAAAATGTGATGTGTTGATCAAAGTTGAAATTTGTGTATGCTATGTGGTGGGACACGGGGGGAACATAAACATAAAAAAATTGTAAGTGAGAATAGTACAAGAGTTTATTATAGAGCATTTCGGTAGATGACACATAGGGTAAGGATGGTGAGAGAAGTATGTTGTAGATATAGGTCGCCATTTGTACGACGTGAGGCCGGAAAGTGAGGGGAATTGAATATAAGCATGAAATGATAACGTGCAAACAATATTATTAATGGAGCATATAGTATGTTCTGTCTTACCATTTTGAGAAGATGTATATGAGCAAGAAAAAATGAAAAGTGCATGCCATGAATAGCACCATGATGGTGGAATAAGGAATTATCAAATTCTTTTCTGTAGTCACACAGAAATATAAATGGGGATATGGTTTGGGACTTAAGTTGAACATGATTGTCCCACAAGAATTTAAAATAATCATCTAAAAGCAAAACAATAATGGTGCCCAAGTGGACTAAAGAGAGGGGATGTCTAAATGTCACTATGTATTATGTCAAACGGAAGGGATGTAGTAGACATAAAATATAATGCTGAAATGGTAATTTATTATGTTTACCAAGTTCATAGGAAATACATTGAGTTAAACAAATTATATTACAATGAACAATTTTGTGTGTTCTAATCTTGCTAAAAATGGTATCTCCGGGGTGATAGAGTCGATTGTGCCAGGTGTCGCTAGTCACAACATGGAGCAGAAGTGTTGATGGCAGTGATGAGGTGTTGAATAGACCCATAGGATACAAACCGCTTGAGCTGTTACATCACATGATTGGTATTCTCGTGTGAAGATCCTTCACAGAAAAATCAAAGGGGTCAAATTCAATAGAGACATTGTTATCACTTATCGAAGTGGTAAATTTGCAGACAAAAAAAACTAAATTGTTCACAAGGTTTGGAGTGTGTGAAACATGATATAGGTTAAGAGGGGCCTGAGGTGGGGCAATGGTAGAGTTTCCATGACCTGAAAAAGGAAATGTAATGACTATTTTCGACACGATTGTGGACCCATAATTCCTACAGAATGGATGTATTAAAACGAGACGTGAGAGTACCTAGAGTGGATATTATATGAGAAGTAGCATCGGTGTCCCTATACCAATTGTCACCCAGAGGTGTAAGAGACACAATGTGCATGGTGGAAGCAATATTAAACATTAATGGCAGTATTAGCCTGATGCGGTCATGGGGCCATAATCTTTGCGGAATTTGAGGAATGGGGTGCGAGGCCGGTGGAACCAGGAAGTGTGGGGTATGGGCACGAAGGAACCCCACCAAGGCTGTTATCATGGAGGTGGCTTCATCCAGGACCAAGCTCACAGTGCTGGGTAGAACTATCATGCGGGGATGAGGTGGGGCCAAACTGGCATGACTGACGAGTGCGATTGGAGGAGCGACCATGTCCGAGACCCGAATTGTGACCAGAGGGATCCAGGTAGTAGTTTTCATGGTGTGGCGACAATTATAAGGCCAAGACATTTGTCCGCGGTGATCTCGCATTCATGACGTTTCCACATGTCACAAAAATAAGTAATAAAATTATGAACTATAGACCATCAAAAATTGAGCAAAAGAGTTGAATAGTTTGAAATAGTTGTACAAATAACTTTATCTAAAAATAATCACATTTAAATTTTTTACGGAGTACTATGATAGGGATCGATAGATGCTACTCCCTCCGTCCCGAAAAGGTTGGTCAAAGTTGACTTTCACGTAGATTAATAAAGTAAAAACTGTGTGATTGAAATTTGTGCAGAGGATAGAGAATTAATTTTAAACACATATTCTTTGCTTTAAATGGAAATGACAAATCTTTTTGGAACATCCAAAAAAAGAAATTTGTCCAACCTAGACTGAGGGAGTATAAAAAAGCCAAACACAATAAAGAGAATGATTGTACACTGCTAAAATGGAACAATGAATTTCAAGGTAGCATTTTTAGCAAGATGACATGATACAAGTATTAAAATAAAATGGTAATCGTTGATTGCATGTTTAGGAAAGTTAGAGCCCGTTTGGTCAGCCTGTTTTTCGGCTTATCAGGCTTATCAATCAACATTTTCACCAAACACGTGAATTTTGATTTCGCGCTCTGAATTGTGTAATAATAAGAAAAAGTAAGGTTTGTGTTATTTTAGCTATTTTTTAATATATTTTTTTCTTTATTTTATTAATAAAATACGTATATTTTATATATAATTTTTCATAAACCAACAGAATCAGTCAATACAGTCACTTCAGCCAGAACTTCATAAATATCAGCAGAAACAACCGATTCATCCGATTTCAGTGTTACCAAACGGGTTCTTAATTATCTAAAAAATGAAACTTTATGAATGTAGTGTTAAAATAGTGAAATCTGAAATTAGATACTAAGACACATCCCATCGGAATGGCCTAAAACAACAAAAAAGAACCACATGAACACATCAATCAGAACACGGAATTGATCAATCAAAATCAAACAACCAATGGTCCAAAACTTAATACGAAGTATCAAACAATTAATTAAAGTTTGAGTTAAAGAGATCGAGCAATAACGCTACACAGAAAGACACGCCGCATAAACAAACAATGAAGTTGGGAACTCTCTTCGCCGGCGTCGTCAGGGAAGCCTTCAGCCGGAAAACATGGAGATCCACTAGCTTGGACTCGGGCGAAACAGAACTGATCGGAGAGCAGAAACAGGGGAAAACGCCTAAGAATTGAAAAGCATCCGAAAACGAAAATGAGAAAATTACCTTTCGAAACTCATCCCTGCATGGAATTTGATGATAACTTGACGTCCAAGATCAAACCGAACAAAGTTTCTCGCTTGATGAGAGTTGAGAATTCGATTCGAAGAAGCAGAGAGAAATCTGTCGGAACTCTGTAGAGCCCCAATTTGATAAAGTTCAAGTAACAGAAGCGTAAAACATGAAAAATCCATGTTATACGGAGTATTTATCACGCTTTTTGTTGACCATCGTATTTATCACGCTTAAGGGTGGTTGGTTGTTTTCAACTTTTTTTTTTTGATAATCCAGGTGTCGGGGCTTACGCTCCCATAATCCTGGAGTCTATGAACTACCCTCCAAAGCCCCTAGACAGTTAAATCCGGATCTGATCACAATCAGCCTCGTCAGTACTGGCTCCAAAGGACGAATCCAGCAGGACTTACATCACCTTTCAGGCTGCTCCTCCCACCACACGAACCCGCTACCTTCATTACCATCCTCTCCCTTCTCAGCCGCTGAACAACTCCGTGAAGGTAGAAAGAATCATTGGGAGCAAGACCTCCCTCATCTCCCCTTGGTGGGAATTGAACCCAAGACCTCCCACAAAGGAGAGACTTGGGGGTGGATGATCATCCATTGGACTACACCCACCTTCCCGTTGTTTTCAACTTTTCATTACGGTGGGGTGTACTGATACAGATTTAGACATTGCTTCTCGCATGAACCCATTTAGAAGTAATACTAAAAACAGCATATTAAGAATTAACGATACAGTGTGAAAAGAAATACTCCTCCCATCTAGTCATGGACCCGGTACGGTTCGGTCCCAATCAATGGCGGATCCAGAAAGTCAGAGTCACAGATTTCCTACTCTTTTATATTTCTAATATCTAATTAATACTCCCTCCGTCCCTTATAACTTTGTCAATTTTCCTTTTTTGGTTGTCCCAAAAACTTCGCCACTTTCCATTTTAGTTAATCAATTTGTGGCTCTTGTTATTTCTCTCTCCTCTGCACAAATATCTACCACACAGTTTTTACTTTATTATTCTACGTGCCGATCAAACTTGGCAAACCTTTAAGGCACGGAGGGAGTATAAAACTAATAAAAAATATATTAAAGAAGCATAAAAACATAATTAGTTTAACAATTTAAAGAATGAGCTTTAACAATTTAGTAAGATTATAAGAACATAATTAGTGAATAAGAACATAATCGATTAAAGCTCATTTAAAGAATAAGCTTTAACAATTTAGTAAGATTATAAAACCAATTAAATTAGTTTGAGTGGTGTGATAAAAACATGTGAAAAGAAATTCTTTGAAGGTGAGTTTATTAACAAAATACTGGAATTCAAATGTGAAGAGAAAAAGAAAATGATGAGTAAAGATTTTCATATGAAAGCCATTAAAAGTCTTAGAAAAGAGTAGTCAATTACATAAGTGACATTTCAAATACCTTAATCATGAGCATAAAAGTCAAATAAAATAGTTGAACAATTTTATTATTATTAACATCACAAATCTATAAATAAGCATCCAACATTATAATTAACATATACGATAGTATTCTGTATTACATACATAAAATCAAAAGGGGAGAATGAACACAAAAAATATAGAAATAATATCTATAATCCATCAAACCCAAAAACATGTTAAAAAAACGGGAAAATGAACACAAGAATTCGTGGATAGAATGCAAAAAACATTGAAGCATATCAACAAGCACCTTGTGAGCATATAAGTGATAGAATAGTTGAATTATAATTAAAATTATAAACATCGCTAGTCCATCACAATACAATAATGTAATCAAACAGTAAACATTCTAACATATATTCTATGCTTAAAATCGAAAAGAGAAAATATATAACAAATTTAAATCTAAATGCACAAGAAAGGGACAAACCTCAAATCAAGGTAGGGAGAAAAAAGTACTCCGTAGTTTAATTCATAGTTCAACAAAGTGGCTTCTCATAATTTTCATGTCAATTGAGAGTTGACATCTCCAAAAAGTGAAAGCTTATGAGAATGAAGGAAAGAAAAATGTCGAAACAGGACTACGGTAAAGGAATGAGCGCAAAGAAGAGAGGAAGAGAGGAGAAGGAAAGAGGGAGAGAAAAATTGGTAAAAAGTGATTGTGAAATGGTAAAAGTAAAAAGATAGGCCAAAACGACGTAATTTTGGTCTATTTAATTAAAGTAGTTTTGGAAAACAAAAAAAAAGAACCCAGGGGGGATTCAAACATGATACCTCCTGCAACATAGAAACTTTCAATTCCATGCATGCTCCCAATCCCCTGCTCCGTTCTTTTGATTCTAAGGTCGTTTTTTGTAAATATACATTGAATAATTAATTTTATATAATATATATTATATATATAATATATAGCTATTTTTTTCTAGATGCATGGGGTCCCGGGACCCCGTGGGACCCTTACTAGGCCCGCCTCTGGTCCCAATTTCGGGTGAGGCCGGCCGGACTTTGCCAAAAAATGGAAGACCTTACATCGGCATGGTATAAAGAGGTCCCGATCCGAGTTTCAGGAAAAAATGAAAAAAAAAACATTTTCTATTGAAGACCAAATCGGGCCCAAGACCGGCCGGTCCTCATAAAAAAGTGGCACTTGGATAGGAACAGGAAAACCGGCCACCTCAGATCCCAAGTAGTGCCATGCTTGATTCTGGTTCGGTTGAACTCACGGACCGGGTCCACCCCTATCTATGTCTCACAAAATTCTTTATTTAACATGTTTCGAAAAACTTTACCAAGTCCATTTAAAGTTAGAATATATTGTTAAGTTATTTCTCTTTCTTTTTCATAGATATTAACCATAAATTCTTTAATTTATCATTTCACGTACAAACCAAATTTGGCAAAATTTTGTATATCACGTAACTAACGCAAAACGAAGTATTATAATAATTTAAGGAAATTTTGCATGTTCGTTGCATATTTTCACCCGAAAATTAGATTATACGTTCTTTACGTTGACTAATAAGGTAATTATTATCTCCCCTAATGCAATGTGGGGCATGGAATTAATTAATGGACGTTCAATGTACATAATTAGTTGGTGTAATATTTCAATGCTGGTCTAATATTTCAATTTCAATTTTCAATTATAAAGGTCGTGTTTGGATAAGAGCGGATCAACCATTTCTCACTTGTTAAGTGATGATGATGATGGCGTTTTGACTTCGATCAAATAGTAGAAAGGCTAGCTTGGTACAAAAATTCTATTTTACACGTAATTTATATAACACCCTTTTCTATGTACACAGACATTTCATTTTGAAAAAATAACAGTTGTCTGTGCAAACAAGCGTGTATAAAATATTTATACCGTCTAATTGTCTATGTGCACATGCAATTCGTTTAGAAAAAGGCATCAATTATCCATGATATGTATGCATGATTGCATGTGAATGTACCAAATGTGCAAATTTTATATACATCAAGAATAATATGTGATTAAAATTGTTGACTTCAAATTTTATATACTCCAACCAGCGTCTTGAGATTTGACGCTTTGGAACCAAAGCACTCCACTCCACGGTGTACGAAATGATCTTACCATCATTTCATTTAAATTTCAAGAAGAAAAACTATCTTACGGAAAAGTTGTAAGCGTAGCAATACAGAGAAATTCATAGTCAGTTTTTTTAATAGTTAAAATTCCATATTGCATTTTATATCCTACCAGTAGTGACCAACCACCTCTGAACCCGTCTTCTACTTTTCGGCGGCTTCTCGAGATGCAAGGGACAACAGAAGTATTCTTCTCCGGTGACTCACTACTCCTGGATGTGGTCGTTGAAAGGGGAGGTGCGCAATTTCTAGCGTGAACCAGAGGAAGACGAAAACATAATGTTGTACGCGTACTTTGGTTTTGTTTAAAAATCATTTAGTTTATTTAAGTTAATGCCACATAGGTTAACGTGCAGTTTAATAAGCACGTTGTGGGCTCATTAAAATTTCTGTCAATAGGAGTAGATTATATATATAATTTAGGGAGAACTATCAAATAAGCCCTCGAACTTTCATAAAAAGTGCAAATAAGCCCTTTTATAGGAGGTTTTGTCCGCCCATCGCCATTTGCGTCGGTTTATGGTGGAATTTTTTTATGAAATTTTTTGATCATCTTCTTCATTATGTCTAGTTTTTCTCATACAAAAATTCCAGCTAAACACTCAATCGTGAAGGCAATCAAATGAATTTTTGAAGATAACTGCGGAGTTAGTCAGCGCAGTATATTTCAGAAATCATTTGACTGCCTTCTAGGTTGAATTTTTAGCTTCAATTTGGTATGAATAAACTAGACTTAATGAAGAAGATGCTAAAAAATTTTCATCAAAAAATTCCATCGGAAACTGCCCCAAATGGCGACAGCCAGACAAAACATCCTGTAAAAGGGCTTATTTGCACTTTTTATGAAAGTTCGAGGGCTTATTTGACAGTTCTCCCTATAATTTAATAAGTTTTTATAAAAGAAAATAATAAAAAGAAAATGAATTAAAAAATATGAAGCAGAGATCGTGATACTCATTATTAGCCTCCTAATACTCAATAAAATAGGTCAGATGTTATCAAAAGTATATCATTGCTCATTACAAAAAGTACAAAAATGTCACCGTTAAAAATTGGCCCTTTCAATTGTTTTCCACTCAAGACCTTTTGTTTATGGGTAGTGTTCATTAGTTATGGTGGGCCTTCGTTACATTCAATAAACTTTATTCAAATTGGGCTGAAGGTTAAACAAAATTACAAAAATACCTGGATGTAAGGTTCCCACCCGTACACCCGGGTGTACAATATTTAAAATGATCTTGATAGGAGTTACTAGTAGTCTGAGATCTCGTTGTGTTTTTTTTTTGTAATTGTCGTCTTTTTTCATAAGAGACCACATTATAATAATAAATATTGTGCTTTGCCTATCGTGCCCAATATATATACACTTTATCAATATGTATTTACGGCAAAAATGATTATTAGTTTTAGGGTATCTTACTATCTCAATCGGTATCACTTATATTATGGGGTATGTATTAGTGTGTATATTTTTAATTGATTACAACTAATAACTTTATGTATTATTTACCTTTAAAAAATAACGTTATACAGAGTGTTATATTATGTATATGTGTGTGCGTGCACGTGTATATAAGTTTGTATTTTTTATTTGAAGTGTTATAATTAATCACTTTATGTGTTAGTGTGTATACAAATGGGAAATTTTAAACTGGTTCGGGTCCTTACCTAGCCAGTTAATTAAAAATACTAACAGGTTCAAATACGGGTCCGGGTAAATGAAATAAAATATACACTTGTATCCACTAAAAATTACCGGTTCCGGATCAGGTTCGGGTCTAGACGTGACCCATCGAGACTTGAGAGGCGTGGTTCCGGGGTCCGTGACTCTGGAGTCCGGAGTCTGGTCTACAAAGTTTGGGTCGCTCCCACACTATACGGTATACTCCCTCCGTTCCTAAATAAACTTCCAACTTTCCTTTTTCGTTCGTTCCAATTAAAACTTCCATTTTCCCTTTTTAGTAAAGAATTTGTGGTTCACAACATTTCTTACACATTTCTCTCTCCTCTGCACAACTCTCTACCACACAATACCCACTATCTTAAACTCTGTGCCAAACCTATTTGGAAGTTTTAATAGGAACGGAGGTAGTATCAAGTTTGAAACAACTCCTTACTGAGATGTAACTTTGAGGTTGTCCCCGTCCGTTTAAGGGTCCCCTGATGCGTAATGGCCGGTGAGAAAATTCGACACGGTTTCGTTGACTTGAAGTCTACGGTTGAAGTCCTTGACCGCGCCCTCTGTTCTATAAACTCCATATCTGCAATGACTTCCGGCAGCCATTCACAACACAAAAGGCCGGCAAAAAGCTCCCGGAATCACCCGCCCTTCCATGGCCGCCTGCTCATTCGTCTTTTCTTTGTCTTACTGCTTCACTCTCCTCACCCTTTATGTTCATGGAAGCCCAAGCCTCATCTCTTCCGATGGCGATGCTCTCTTGCTTCTTCACGAAGGTCTTGTCGGCGGTCAGGGTCAGCACAATGCGAGTTTCCGGGATCCATGTAAATCCGCCGGAATCTTTTGCGGAAGACGGCCGGGGAATGTTCTGAGAGTCACCCGGATCGCTTACGAGTCGGAGGGGCTGAGTGGGACTCTTTCGCCGGCGATTTCGAGGCTGTCGGAGCTCAAAGAGCTCTCTCTTCCGGACAACGAACTCTCCGGCCAAATACCCGCTCATATTCTCAACTGCCGGAAAATGGAAATCTTGAATCTCCGGGGGAACCAGTTTTCCGGCGAGGTCCCACTGAAGCTTTCTTCTTTAGCCCGCCTTCGGATCCTTGACCTTTCATCAAACAAGCTATCTGGGAACCTCAATTTCTTGCAGAACTTCCCCGACCTCGAAAAGCTCTCCCTTTCCGACAATCTGTTCACCGGGAAAGTACCCCAGTCCCTGAAATCGTTCCGGAATCTCCGTTTCTTGAACATTTCCGGGAACAGTTTACTGAAAGGTCCGATGCCGGTGATGGGTCACGTCGATTATCGATCAGTATCAGCGTATCAGCAAAAACGCTTTATTTTTGCTGAATTGAAAAACAAAACTTCATTAGCATTGATTCCGAAAGGGAGCGCTCCTCACGCCGGTAAGGCTCAAGGCCCGACTCCCCGGTCAAGCACGGCGGCAGCTGTAGAAAATCACAACAAGAGCAAAAGGAAACTAAGTAGATGGATTATCGGGTTCACGGCCGGAGCTTTGGCCGGGATTTCATCTGGTGTGTTCTTTTCCGTACTTTTCAAGGTAATTCTTACTCCCTAATACTACTACGTACGAAGTATATAGTGTAATTCGTTTGTAAAAAACATCTTTGTTTTGTGCATGTTTTTCAAAAGAGGCTCTAATTTAAATTACAAAAATAATGTTTATACACACTCTTATACACACTTTTGTACACACCTATGTCTGTGAAAGCTTTTTTTTTGTCTGTGAACATCGATCCATAGACAATGTTTTGCACAAACAAAATATTGTCTGTGAACCGGGTTCACAGACAAAAAAAAAGCTTCACAAACATGTTGTGTATAAGGTGTGTACAAGGGTGTGTACATCAAGCATGGTTGAACACTCCAACTTCTGCTTCTGCTCTCTGAAGGAGCAGAAGCAATTTTAAAAATCAAATCCAAACACCCCCTATGTTTCGAAAGAAGACAAAAGTGATTTTCAGTTTTTGGTGCAAAAAGGTAAAAATGAGTGTTTTCAATTGATAATTTTTATTTAAATTAAATACTTAAAAGTTAAAAGTTGAAAATTATTTTTCACTTTTTCAATTACATAAAAATCACATATTTTATTCAACACCATTGACTTTTATTTTTCAAAATCATATTTTTCTCAAACACTATCAACTTTAACTAATAAACTTTTTCTCCAAAATCGTTTTAAAAATCCACTTTTTAAAAGTTGAAGTAATCGCAAACTACCTCTAAGTAGTTGGAGAGTATTTTATTTTTTATTTTTTACTTTTTCATAAATACTGTATATTTTCTCATTATTCATCTTTCCCATCGCTTTATCTGTTGAACTACATATGCGGGTTACCGTAACATTTTCTCAAACACTTTCAGTTTTAGTATTAACTGCACTCTCTAAAATCACTTTAAAAATCATTTTTCTAAAAGTTGAAGTCATCACGAATTTGTTTGTTTAGAAGTTGTGACTTCAACTTTCATTGCTAATTTTTAAATTAGCATCCATAACTAAAACTTATATTCTGCCAAAAAAACTAAAACTTACATACTTAGAATCTTTACTACTCGTATAATTCTGTTGGATGGAAAAACTAAATCCAAATATTATTAGAAAAACTGATGCTCAATAAAAGAGAAAAAAGGAACACTGCTAGATAAACAAATTAAAATGAATTAAAATTTACAGAGAAAATACATTAAATAGGTTTAAAACATAGACAAGATGTCTAAATAGAATAACATTTATTTTCATTTTAAATTAAGATTCATTCACTCCTCAGAGAAGTTTATACTTATAAAAGAATCTAATGATTTATACACTCCTCAGATTTATACATTGCTCCCGAATATCACCAAATGATTCATCTTTCTAATAAAACAGGTACTACTTTTCTTGATAAACGGGGGTGAGAAACATTCAAAATTAACAATCTTTAGCCCAATGATCAAGAAAGCCGAGGACTTGGCCTTCTTGCAGAAAGAAGACGGATTATCATCGTTGGAAATGATCGGAAAGGGCGGCTGCGGAGAAGTTTACAAGGCAGAGCTGCCGGGAAGCGACGGGAAAATGATCGCTATAAAGAAGATCATCCAGCCGGCAAAGGATGCTGCCGAGCTCAAAGAAGAAGACAGCAAGGCCATGAGCAAGAAAATGCGCCAAATCAAATCGGAAGTCCAAATCTTGGGCCAAATCCGCCACCGGAATCTCCTCCCTCTTCTTGCCCACATGCCAAGACGAGATTGCCATTACCTTGTTTACCAATTCATGAGGAATGGGAGCTTGCATGATGCCCTTCAGGACGTTTCCAATGGTAAGAGAGAACTCGATTGGCTGTCACGCCATCGGATTGCGGTGGGGATCGCTTCCGGTCTCGAGTACCTTCACACTAATCACACCCAACGAATAATCCACCGGGACCTCAAGCCCGCGAATGTGCTTATCGACGACGACATGCAAGCCCGAATATCTGATTTCGGGCTTGCGAAAGCGGTCCCCGACTCCCACACGCACATCACAACCTCAAATGTGGCGGGGACGGTGGGGTACATTGCTCCCGAATATCACCAAATGCTCAAATTTACGGACAAGTGTGACATATACAGCTTTGGCGTTCTGTTGGCGGTTCTTGTGGTGGGGAAGCTCCCATCGGACGAGTTCTTCCAGACCACCGAGGAGGTGAGTATAGTGAAGTGGCTGAGGATGGTGATGTCTTCCGGAGATCCTAAGGAAGCCATTGATGATAAGCTCTTAGGGAATGGGTACGAGGAGCAAATGATTTTGGTTCTCAAGATTGCTTGCTTTTGCACTCTTGAGAATCCAAAAGAGAGGCCTAATAGTAAGGATGTTAGGTGTATGTTAACTCAGATAGAGCATTGATCGATTGAGTTATAAAAGAATAAATATAAGCAAGATGTTATGCAAATAAGCATGCATACATGCAATGTGTAGTAAATTAAGATACATCTACACACATGAAATGTTGATGTGTGTGTACAAAACAGTAAACCCTAATTCTCCCTCATGTTTAGATGAGTGAATCCTGACCATGTGTCAAGTCAACGTGCTTCATAGTGAGCACTTTGGCGTGCCTCATATATTCACTCTCAAATTTCCTATAATATGAGTTAAGAAGAGTGGCTTAATTTCTTTGCGATAATGGAAGCTCATCACTCGACTAATTTAATTCGACATTTTCTGGAGAAACTTCATAATAAAACTCGAAGATTAGAAACTTAAAAATAAGTTCAACTAAGTATTAGTATACCTACTTTAGAGTAACATTTCCCATTATTTCATATGGTACCAAGAGCATGAAACAAAATCCTCTAAAAACACAATTTTACCACGTAATCGCTTCCGCCTCATCTAGAGTAGCCGTCTTTGAAGTTTCAATGTTGTACATGGCCGCACCATCTGCCGCAACACCGACGGATGCTATGGCGTTTTCCTCTTCATCGCCGGACATGGTTAGTGCCTCCTTCTTTGCGCCAATGTCATCTGTTCCTGCTTTCTCATCTTCTTCTTCTTCTGTTGACCACGAATTGGATGGACGCTGCCTCTGTTTCCTTGGAGTTCTAGGGTGCCAACCTTGCAACCCTCATCTGCGTCGAGATCTCCCTTCCTCGATAGCAGTATCAGCCCCCTTTAACCAGCGTCCCAGCTCTTGTTCACAGGTCCCCAACTCACTGGTGTTCCAGGTGCTGTCAATTACGATGATAAGACTGATAACTATTAAACATATTTGTCTAAATAAGTTTTATTTTAGTAATACTTTTGAAAAAATCCTTATTTTTAGAATCAATTAAAAATAATTATTAACTCGAGACTCTAATGAACACCATTGCAAATAACTTGTTTGGTGAATTTCTATAAAAAAATAAAAGTAAAGCTAAATTTCTTTCTCCTTTGACTCCATATATATATATATATATAAGATCGGATACAAAGTGTGCTTCCGGTACAAAATGCAAATTCATCTCATCCATCCAATTTAACAAAATCAAGGGTTAGTTTTTATTTGAGCATTGATACTCAATCCGTTATAGTGGAGAATTTTTCTCCTATAATCATATTACATGGGACCAGCCATTAATGCATTGGTTTCCTATCTTGACCGTTACATTATTAAAATCAATGGTTAGAATTAGTTTGTATGTGATCCTAAATATATATATATATATATAAGGTATGGTTCAAATGAGAGTGATGTCCCAAGAGAGAAAAAAGAATAAAATATGTCCATTCGTTCTTTTAATCGTGTGATTGGGACAAGAAGAATCCGAACTAAAAAAACTGCACATGCCGTGCACATGATAGTATATTAATCCGAAACGTATGTATTGATATATTGGGGGGTTAATCCCTAAATATTACTAAATTGAATTTCCAAAAATGTGAGTACTTTTAAATATTGACAAAAAAGTGATTAAAGAGGTCATATATTTGGAACTATAAAACATGATGTCACTCGAAAAAAATTATGTTACTGTGTTTATTGTTTCGTGTCACCGAAAGTGGTATCCGTCAAAATTTCACGCCAATTACGCCGCCACCGTCACAGTGACGCTGCCAGCGTTCAGTGACACCCGACGCCGCCGAACCCGCCAATCATAGCCGCTCACCGCTTCATCCAGTGCCCAAACCACCTACTGCCCCTATGCCTCCCCATCACCACGTCCCTGCCCAGATCATGCCTGCCACCTGACCCGCCCCCTGACCCACCACCTGACCTACCTCAGCAACCCTACCCCGCTCCAGGCCCGACCAGCCCGACCAACCCCCGATTCACCCCTTCCCAACTCCGATCTAGCCCCGACCTGGCACCATTTCCCCCTCGGCGCCTAATCTTCAAACCCTAGCCGCCGCATCGCCGAACCCTAGCCGCCGCTTCCACAAAGAGATCTATCTCCTTCACAATCGTCGTCGTTAGATCGGCGCTAGATCTGGCGAAGTTTAACACCACCAACAGAAAGAAAAGAAAGAGAAGAAGATCGGAAGGCGAGGGAGAGGACGGAGAGGATGGCGGCGAAAACCAGGGTGAGGACGGCGGAGATGATTCGTTCCTCTATACGCGGAGGGTGACGACGGCGAAGACCTGTGCGAGGACGGCGGTGACGATCTGCTGCTCAGAGGAGGTCGCCTGAGTTTGACGCTGTTAGGACGATGAAGCGTGCTTGGGCGATGAAGTAAAGCGCAGAGAAGATCGGCGCAGAGAAGCTTGTGCGATGGAAGTTAGGCGCAGAGAAGCTTGTGCGATGGATTGAGCCTGGGTTTTAAAAAAAGTAGTAACATTTTTGTCCATGTGAAAAATAGTCATAGTTTTGTCCATTCAAAGTCTATAGGTAATATTTTGACCATTCTTTCGATATATTGACATGAGGGCATTTATGTCAAATATTCTAAAGTGAATGGAACGCATGATTCCACATATGGGAAGTTGCTTTACATATTAGAATATTATTATTTAATTAATTAAGATTCCACATATGGGAAGTTGCTTTACACATTAGGATATTATTATTATGAAAGAATGATTGATATATTACTAGTAGCTTATTGAAAGACAAAAATATGACTCCTTTTTATTTTGGACAAAAAAGAGATCAAATATAATTAGTGGACCGAAATGCCCTGAAATAGAAGTAAGCATATACCATCCTCAATCCTCCGATTGCAGCCTCCTTCCCTCCTGTGCAGCCTCCTTCATCGCAGATGCTTCTCCAACACAAGCAGCTTCATCGATCGATCTTCAAACATATTTGTCATTTGTTCTTCTAGATCTGCGAACAGAAATCTTCTTCTTCGCCGTTGCTTGCACTATCCCGCCGCCGTCATCGTTGGTCTTCACAACAATTGGTGAAACTATAATCGACTGGTGACGAGGATCAAGTCGTCTTCCTCGATGGCCGCCACTAGTGGATCAAACATCCTCGACAAAGCGCCACCGCCACCGATTCCGTCTTCCATAGAGCAACGTCATTGTTGGATTCGTCATTTTCGATGGAGTTACAGTTACACGCCGGCGGCTAGGGTTACGGGATGTGGCGGTGATGGAGGGTAAGGTAGACGAGTGGTGGAGGCGGGCTGGCCGAGACGGGCTTTGGGAGCCGTGGTGTGCGGCGGCTGGAGCCGTGGTGGTGGGATGCGGTGGTGTGATGCGATCGTGCAGGGGCTTGGGGGAGGGTGGTTAGGGATTATGGGAGGGTGGATGGGGGCTGGGGGCTGGGGGCTGGGGGCTGGGAAGGGGCTGGTAGTGGGAGGGGCTGGTAGTGGGAGGGGCGTTGTATGGGTAGACAGCCGTGGCGGTGGGGTCAGGGCGGTGTACGGGGAACCTGCTATGGCAGTGGGGTCAAGGCGGTGTAGGGGGGAGACTGCTATGGCGGTGGGGTCAGGGCAGCGGGCGGTGGATAACGGGTTTCACTGTAAATTTGTTTGAAAATCATGTCATTGTATAACTCTAATCGACCGGCTAATTCAGATAACTTAAACTAGTTAAATTGGGTAACTATAAACGGGCGATTTAAGTAATTGTAATTGGGTGGGTAAAGTCATTGGTCATTTGGCGAGCGGACGGACATGAGTCACTGGTCACTGGATGATCAAATATTAGTCGGACGGATGGACATTGGTCACTAAACGAATGTACGTTGGTCACTCATGGACGAGCAAAGGTTGGTCACAGGACGATGGTAACTAGGATGGCCTTGGGGGAATTGCCGTGCTTCGAACAATTGAGCGTGAAAAGAAAAGAGGGGGGGGGGGGGGGGGGGGGGGGCTGGGTAGTTTTTTTTGTTTTGGATGCAAAGTATATTCAAAATTTTACTCAGACATGGCGTGCCTAAGTGCCAGGCACGACCGTGCCTTCCCTAAAAACAGTAAAAACAAAAAAGGAACTCAGGAGGATTGGAACTTGGTACCTCCCGCAACATAGAAACTTTCAATCCCGTGCATGCTCCTGGTCCCCCACTCCGTTCTTTTGGTTCTAAGGTCGTTTTTTATGTAAATATACATTGAATAATTAATTTTATATAATATATATATATAAGTATTTTTTCGAGGCGCACGGGGTCCCGGGACTCCGTGGGACCCTTAGTGGGTCCGCCTCTGACGTGCATTTAAAATAATACAAACGTGCACTATTATTTTAATTTCTAAAATTCTAAACATACACTTTTTTTACAAAATAAAATGCACTTTTGTCATGTGCATTTTAATATAAAATTCTATATTATGTCGTGTGCATTTTATAAAAGTGCATTTTTGTCGTGTGCATTTTATAAAAGTGCACTAGTATTTCATAATATTCTAAAATTTTGCATTGATATTTTTTACAAAATGATATGCACTTTCTCCCAAAAGCATCATAGTTTCCATTATGACATTGTCTCCCTATGCCTCTTTTATCTTATCTGCAAAAAAAGTAAAACAAAAAACTAATGAAAAGTGCATGAAAAAATATGATACGTGCATCAAAGGTTTAATACGTAGTATAAATTAAAGAACTCAATTAACAGAGAATTAAATCATCAATGACATTTGAATTTGAATCAAATATGCAAAAGAGTTAATCGTTTAAATACACACTTTCATGATAAATCATTTATAAAAATATGCATTACCTAAGACATTTTCGTGCAGCATCACATAAAACTAAGTGTGCCAAAACAATTAGTCTGAATTGAAATCTTTGTACAACCCTAACAAATTTTCAGGAATATACATGAGAAATCCATGAATACAAACCCCATGAAAAATCACAAAACGAAATCCATGAAAACGTGAATAAACTAAATCCATGAGTTTATGAAGTAAATAACCAAATACCCAAAAAAGAATTATTAGTGGAGTAGTTATTCAATGTATATACGGAATAGTAAATAACAAAATAAAGATGTGCAAAAATTGCATGGTCATATATATATATGAATATGCAATGAGAAAAGTAATCGTGACTTAATAAACTTGAAACTATTAATTATAATGGATTGAAGAATCACTCCATCCATGTAGACTGAAATATAATTGTTTGATTAAATAATTATAAAAAAGTAATGTGAGAAGTAATGAAAATCAAACACACATACCAGGATAATTGTAGGGAAAATAAGATTGTTAAAAAAATTGCGTTGCTCGATGATAATTGTAGTGAAACTAACGGCAATGGAGAACTAAATTGATGGTGG